CCCCCCCCCCCCCCCCCCCCCCCCCCCCCCGCTAGGACTACCCAGGGTTCACTTTCCCCACTGAAAGCCTTGCATTCAGACCACGCCCTCTCCCTAGCCACGACATTCCAGAACGCTCACTACTCAGACTTCCCAGCCCCACCCTGTAGGCTGGTCCTTAACATTTTCCACCCTGGTCTTCCCAGCTCGTTTTTTTGTGCCACCCCTAGACCACACTGCCCTCCCTGCTGCCTAGTTCAGCACCCAACCTGCCCCACAGAGACCTTGTCAGTCTCCTCCCAGCTGAAGTGCGCTTTCCTCCTGCCCCACCCAGTTCACCTGCTACCTGAGCCTGGATCCTGCCCCCCCCCCCGCGCCCCAGTTGGCTTCCCAGTTCTTCCCAAGCAATCCTTTCTCCTTCCTAGTCCATTTCTTTCTCTTGGCCTCTTATACGCTCCCTCTCCCCGTCCCTGGCTGACACTCAAGCGCCACACCCTTTTGGAGATTTCCCCACACGATCCTTACAAATGACTCTCCTCAACCACTGGTACTTTGAAGGCATTTTTCTCTGGCGTCTTTAGTAGCTTTGACACGTCGGGCCAGCTTCTTAACCTTCCTGGACCTCAAGATCTTATCTGTAAGATGTAATCAATAATAGTTATCTCAGGACCGTCCACACTAGGACCTTTTCTGTACAGTTTTGAGTGTTGACTATATGCCAGATATTGTGCTGGCCGTTGGGAGGATGGAAAGAGGTGACTCATGAGGACCGGCTATGCCTGGGACACAGTAGTGGTTTTTTGTTTCCATTGTGATCTCATGCCCGATGCCTTCTTACTCTGGTTTCTGATCCTTAGATCTCCAGCCCTCTTCCCTGTGGAGGCAGCTTTTTCCCTGTGTTTAGTAGATGCGTTTCTTGTCCTCTCTGACACATACACATTCCTTGTAAATGAATGAGTTCAAGAATGGAAATGTTCCCCGTTTTACACACACACACACACACACATTTCTAGAATTCTGTGCTGCAGACTCAGCCTTCCAACCTACCTTCTCACCCTTTATCCATCCATTGAATGTTTAGCTTTCAATCCTTCCTTTGTGTTTCAACCAACATCACTTAGCTGGTAGATCCTGGTTGACTTGAACGTCTAACGCCAAACTTGGGGTTCTGGGGAAGCAGGTGTGCGTGGTGAGTGAGTGAGCTAGTGGCGTCCAGACATAGCTCTTCATGGGGCCCTTCATCAGCCACATTCAATTAGGTGCTTTTCCCCTGCAGGTGTGGGGGAGGGCTGTTGAGATAGTGTCTTCCACCAACACTGTATGTGGCCTCAGGTCAGAATGATAGTCTTCTTCAGCCCCTCTTCACACATCAGAAGACCGGGAGGTGTAAAAACTCTCTTGTTAAGGCAAGAATCAGACCCCTGCCTCAAAATTCCGTGTCTTCGTGAGTTCTGTCCCCCCCCCCCCAGCTATCTCTCTCTGGGTTAACTGGTATCACAGCCATACTGGTCTCCCAGAAGGGGTCCATCACTTCCTTCTAAAGCTCTGGTTCAAGCAAGGGAGAAGCTCCTTTTTCTTGGACAGCCACAGGGAAGTGGGGTTTCCACAATAATGTTTATACTAGAAATGTATGATCAGAGAAGAGAAGGGAACAAACAAGCCGGGGTGTTAAAGAAACTCACAAAGAAAGACATGCCTTTCTGGTTCTGCCATGGTTTTCTCGCTCACAAGTCCTGGCTCATTATCTGAGAAGCCTGTGGGTAGCCTGACGTCGGATTCCAGCCCCTTCATCTTCCTGTTTCCATTCTGCCCTGCCTGGCGGATGGAACCTTACCCACCACCCGCCAGGATCTTCCTCCTTCTGATCTTCCTAGAGATCATGCCAACTCAAGGTTCCCACACAGCCTCGGGTGATCCCGTTCAGTTTAGGTTGAACTGGCTGGAGTTGTTCTGTTTGTGGACGCTGGGTCAGACAGTCGAAAGTGAGCTTGGCTCTCAGATGCACCTCACTACCCATGTTGGTCTGCGCCTTTGTTCCGTAGAGCAGTCTTCCCCACAGCAGAACCTCACCTGTAGTAGGCATGCCCTGCTCCATGTTTCCAATTACACAAATACTGGATGGCCAGACAGAGTAGGGGACACTGTTGATGCCTGTGAGAATGACGGCTTTTACCAGCTACCGGAAGTCTAGCGAAATCACTCTTTCTGTGAAATATATACATATGACTCTGTAAATACATACATGTGACTTTGTGGTCATCGATGCCTTTTTGCTGTATTTTGAAACATGAAGAAAACAAGTCTTGCTAAAAGATATTTCTTTAATGAACAATTTGAATTTATGACAAATTAGTTGTGGAATTTACTTTGTGGCTGTTGTTGTTCCAGAAGAAATATTAATCAATTCTAGAGGAATGGACTTTGGGTGAAAGTAGCTATGAAGAAGTAATATATTCTATAAATTAACACATATATGTTGTAGAGAAAAAATGTTTGGGATGTATGGGCCTATTTGGAACGTTGATTTTTTTTACCTTGCCTATTGTCTGACATTCTTTTTCTCACTATGATTCTGGATAGTTCCTTAATTTAAGTGTGTTCGACATCTACTGTAGAGGGGCCTAATGTCACCATAGAAACTGAATTAGGCTCCACGTCAATGACAATTTGATTTCTAAAACCTTTTCTTCTGCCGTTCCCCATAAATCACTGTGTGTTTACGCCATGGCATCTGGTTCCTCTCCTGGGCTTTACAAGTGACATCCATCACTTGACAGCAAAGCAAGCAGTTTGCTTGGTAAAGAGAAAAAAACGTAGGATCCATCATCTTCTCTACTGGTCTGTAATGGACATCTGATGTGCAGAATCGTATATATGCTAAGTAACAGTCAGTCAGTAACATCTGCTACTCTGGATAATTCTCTGGTTTTGAGACGTTGTCCTTCCTGTTCGGCAGCCCAGCTGAGTCATAACCCATCACACCAGCCCGGGATTTTCACACTCAAGTGGTGTCTGAGGTATCTTTGTCATTATTCGTAATTGTGCGGTTGATAAAATTTTAACATATGCCTTTTACATAGATGAAACTATAAAACTGAGAACCTTGTCGTAAAGGCGGATTTTTATTGGGACGCCATTTATGACATTCGACCCAGCATCCTCGATTAGGAAATAAGTCAGTCATAAGCAGGGGATTAAGATCCCTCTCCTAGTCAGCCCCATTACCCTGGCTGTCAGCTAATAGGAATGGATGGGGTAGCAGGTGCTCCCTGTAGAAATGCTAATGACAAACCCTTCCTAGATGAAATCGGCGGAGGCTCTGGGAGGTGGAATTAATAAAACAGAGGCAAAACACTTGAAAAATGAGCACAATAACAGGAACTCAGAAAGAAAAAGAGCCTTCCAGCCCTGCATGAGGGTTGGAGAAGGCCCATCTGACTTGGCTTTCTCCCTCTGCACCGACTACACACGTTCCTAATTTTCTACTTCCCAAGTCATAGCAATGCCTCAAGACAGCCTGAGATACTGACTCTTCAGCACCTTCCTCGGTCCTGCCTTTCAGGATTCCTTCCTTTTGACTCGGAATGTACTCTGTAAACTCTTCTGTCTTAGCTCACTTGAATGTGCCCCCCTCTCCCAGCCCGTGAGGACTCAAAGAGAAGGGTTTTTCTTTGTCGTCTCCGTGAGCGTTACGGTCTAATCTGTGCCTGGATTTGCTGATCGTATGGGATTTGGGGGGCTTAGGGAAATGTTTATGCACCTACATTTTGATAAATTCCCTGCAGTTTCACATGGTTGAACTTAGAGCATGAAATGACCTCCAAGCCCTGCTATATGCCAACCAGGGTGCTGGGGTACCGATGAGTACACTTTAATCCTACATAAGGAAGGAGATTGTGTCTCCTTTAACTGGAATAAAGCCTGAATCATGCCAAGTTATACCAGAAGGCAATGTCACCCGGGAAAGGCCAGCGGACACACAGGCCTCTGTGCACAAGCCTTCGCCTGGGGCAAGCGCCTCAACCTTGCTGCACAGATGCTGATGCAGGGCCTGGAGAGAGGCTCAGTTAGTAAAGTGATCACTTGGGCAAGCAGAGAGCCTGAGTCCAGATCCCCACAACCCACATAAAATGTCAGATGGGGCAGCATGTCTCTGCAACCCCAGGCCTGGAGCAGACAGCGACAGATGCCTGGAGCGTAATGGCCAGCTAGCCTCGCTGGATTCATGAGTTCTAGGCTCAGGGAGGGACCTGTGTCAAAAAATAAGGTGGAGCAAGACCAAGGAAAACACGTGATATCAACCCCTGGCCTCCACATGCACACACATGGGAACACATATATTTTTTTTAAATGCTGATGTATATGTGTCCCACTCAGAAACTCTGATGCAGTTCATGCAGGGTATGGCCTTGCATCTGAACATCCAGCCTATAACATAACAGCCTCTTCCTAAGTCGGGGCTCTCAGACTTCAGGCTGTGGAAGAACTGCCTAGAGAATTTCCCAAGCCCCAGATTCCTGGGCCATGTCCTCAGACATTCTACCGGGCAAGTTTAAACTGGAGCCCCCAAATCTATTCCTGTTGCTAAGTTAGGCTTAAGGCTTTCTTTGGCAAAACACTACTGTTCTTAAGGGGATGAGTTGCCCTTATGCAAGCATGGTTTTTTATTCAAGTCTGTTGCATCTTTACTTACATAATTTTTCTCCATAAGATCTTATATAGATACGTAATCTTACATGTAGTTTTTAAAAGTTTTATATTATCCTTTTACAGTTTAGTCTGTAGTAACCACATGGATTTTTTTATTTTTTAAAATTGTTTTTATTTAGCTATATATTTTTCTCTGTTCCCCTTCCTTCCTCCCCCTCCCCTTCTACCGTCTCCCATAGTCCCCATGCTCCCAATTTACTCAGATCTTGCCTTTTTCTACTTCCATGTAGATTAGATCCATGTATGTCTCTCTTAGGGTCCTCTTTGTTGTCTAGGTTCTCTGGGATTGTAAATTATAGGCTTTTTTTCTTTATGTCTATCTAAAAACCACTTCTGAGTGAGTACATATTATATTTGTCTTTCTGGTTCTGAGTTACCTCACTCAATATAATGTTTTCTAGATCCATCTATTGTCTGCAAATTTCAAGATGTCATTTTTTCTGCTGCGTAGTACTCCATTGTGTAAATGTACCACATTTTCCTTATCTAGTCTTTGGTCAAGGGGCATTTAGGGTGTTTCCAGGTTCTGTCTATGACAACGCTGCTAGGAACATAGTTGAGCACGTGTCCTTGTGGCACCTCATTGGATTTTTTTATTCATTTGTAGAACGACTTAGGAATCAAATCCCCTAGGACTGGAGATTGGTGTAGCTGGAGAGATGGCTTAGCAGAGCAATTGCCGCTCTTGTGATGGACCTGAATCCCCAGCACCCATATTTGGCAACTCCTAAGTACCTGTAATCCAGCTCCAGGTGATCTGACATGCACAGGTTCGGAGACATGCACACATGTATGCATTAATAAAGATAAAACAAACCTTTAAAAAAAGCTCTCCCATGTGTGTCCCATACTCTTCATAAGGCTTGCCTTCCCCATTAACAGACGATGTCTCTCCTCTGGCGTGGAAGCGTCCCATATACTTGGGTGTCATTTCTGGACCCCTTGTTCTGTTCCATCAGCCTGAGCTAATGCCACACTCATTTCCTCTTATTTTTCTCTACCCTTTATTTATTGTTCCTTTTGTGAGGAGCACAGTGGCTACATTTGCGAACGTATCATTGGTCGGACACATTTATTTCCCTAAGTTCATCTTGTGTTCCATAACCTTATCACACGGTGATTAGTTTGTCTTCTAGGGGATGATTATATATTTCTAGCAAGTGGTAATCTGTTGTCATGCTTCCAACATGTCCGTGTCTTGTTTGTGTTGTGTTTTGTATTCGTTAGAATGTCTGGTGTTGTTTTGAGTGGCTTGGGATAATAGCTGTCTGCCCGGGGACACAGGACTGCTTCTGAAATTTTATCGTACAAGATGAAGTCTGCTCTGTTTTTCAGAGACCAGGCTAGGACACTTCTCCTTCACCTACTCAAGTGGGTGGTTGTTTGATCCTGTTGATATCAACTGATGTCTGCTTTTACTTTTTAATGTTAATAGATTTCTTTCTGATACTAAGGCTTATTTATTGTCCTGGGATAAACCCTGCTTAGATAAAAGAAATGATTTTATTACCCTGAGCGTGACTTGCTGTTTTTAAATTAAAATATACTAGCATGTGTATTTGTAAGTGAAATTGGTCTGACATTTTCCATTTTTTCTGTACTGGATTCATGTAGTATTGGGGTGAGGTTATAAGATTAACTGAATAGACTTCCCTCTTTTAAGTTGTTTGGAACAAGTTGTGTAAGAGGGGTGTTCCTTCAGTATTGGATCAGCTTCTCCTATTCCCCCTTTGGACCTGCTTTTTTCGTGAATATATTTTACTACAGTTTAGATATCTTCAATGCAGGCTTTTTCTTATTTCTTCTTGAGCCAGTTCCAGAAGTTCATATTGATATTTTCTGGTTTCTGATTTTGAATTTTATTGACATAAACTTGATAACCGCATTCTTTCAAATTTTTAAATATCTCTATTTACCCGTAGCTTTATCTTTTTTATACCTAATATTAATTTGTGCCTTCTCTCCTTTTTCAAAGTTAGTCTTTGTTTGTTTGGTTGGTTTTTGAGACTGGGTTTCTCTATGTAAGAATCTTGGCTGTCTTGGAACTCGCTCTTGTAGACCAGGCTGGCTTCAAACTCACAAAGATCCACCTGCCTCTGCCTCCCAAGTGCTGGGATTAAAGGCATGTGCCACCACCACCCAGCCAAGGCTAATTTTATTGAGATTAATTTTGCTTCTTTGTCTTCCCAAAGAATGAAACTTGGTTCTGTTGAAGACCACCCAGCAGAAATAGAGCTGTCACTTCCGTGATGGCCCTTGACCTGTCAGAGGTTTCCGGACCACTGAAAGTACAGACTTTGTGTATGTTGGTCTTTCCCTCCATTTGGCGTTCCTCTTCCCAGGCCTCATTAGCGAGTTTGTTTTTAAGTCACCAAATGCTTGTGTCTACCTTGTCAGGGCCTGAACTAAGTCCTGGGATGATGAAGTGGCCCTGGCTCGCACGCAATTGTGTTTAGTAGACAGAAACGTACGTGCTGTGCA